CTGGCACTCAAAGTAGGCCAGCCAGCCTGTCCCTCATTTCAATAAAATTACAACCATTTGTGTTAAAGACAGGTCTGGGGCATTCACGATAACTTCCCTTTTTTTCCCCTCTTGGCAGGAAAATCATTAGTATTAGTTCACTTCTTGCCCAGTATGCAGTGGTTAAGGCTACTGCTGCAGTGACATGCAGTTGGCCTCGGTTATTAAAGTCAGCTCAGGAAGGCAGTTAAATGAGCATCAACATAAAGAAACGGTGTCATCGCCACTACCCTGATGGAGGCTGTGCTGCGGAGGCTGTGTGTGTAGTCAAAAGTGCATGTGTTGCTGTGAATTCAAGCTGAGAGGATGAGTTGTGCGCACATACGAGTGTTTGTTCACCCGCAGCCTGAGAGGTTGTGGGTCAGTAAGGCGAGCCGGCCTGCTATTGTTTAACGGAAATCGCATCTCACGCATGACTGTGGGATGATTATTTGGGATGATGGGAAATCAGGGAGACACATGAATACACAGTCGCACACGCGCACAAAAATTCCCACATACGTTTGAACGCGCGCGAGACATGTTGGGAACAATACGTGACAGGAGGGTGTGTGAAGCAAATAACATGTGAACAGCATCAAAATAGCTCCAACTAACAGTCACCTAGTCTTGATGACAACCACTGGCTGCCTGCAAAGCCCAACTTGTCTTATTTTGTAAATCCAGGCTGACAACAGCTCTGCGGGATCTGTCTGTGTGTGCGTGTATGTGTGTGTGTGCGTGCATGTGTGTGTGCTAGTTAAAATGCAGTTTTTATTTCATTTTTTTCATAGACTTATTCTGGGTAAGAAGATGGTATTGGATATTTTTAGCAGAAAATGGCCCTAACTGTTTTTATATACTGATTCGATGCGCTCTTCCTTAACACTCTACTCCCCTGCTTGTATTTGTTCCTGATCAACTGCTACCCACGAGAGATGGGAGGTGAAGTGTCATATTGTGAAGAAAGGGAATTTTCTGGGTGTGTCATGGGCAATTTGGGCTCCGGAGTGCAACAGCTTGTGTGAATTGATGTTAGCTTTTTCTCTGGCTTTGAGCTGCCTCTTTTGTAGCTTTTCCTCAGAAGTCTTTGCCATGCGAGAGGCAGACAATCCAGGTTAGATTCAAAGCGTAGACTTATCCAGAGCTGCAGGGTGTAAAGCCTGTAATGACACGTGTACATGTATATGCAGAAAAAAGAAAAAAAGACAGACAAATCCAAGGGGAACTGCTTGTCTTGCAAACTAAAGCACAGGTCAATGTATACTTATTCTTGAGTTTGTTTAAATAGCAGATTATGCGTCTGTCTTCTGCTGACCAGTTCACAGCATATTTCTATTGGTGTGTTCTTGGTGTCACGTTTTGTGAAAGGAGAGAAGGAACCAGTCACATCAAATTTCTGGTAAAACTGGAAAGTGCACTTCATTTAATACTAAACCTGAGTGTGTTTTTAGGGGCAATGTTTTGCATCCACAGTTAATAGGTGTGACTGTAGTGTAGCGGTTTCCCTAACAAGTGAAGGATCCTGGGTTTGATTCGAGCAAGACAAAAGACACAAATCCCTTTGGGGGTTATGTAAAAATCTGCCAAATCAAACATGCTACCTGCTGTGGCAACCCTTTGTGAATAAGAAAGCAGCTGAAAGTAACTTTTAATAGAAGGTTGTGATAAGGATGCACAAGGATTAGAAATTGAGCTGGAGCACACAGATCTATAGGTTTTCTCTAATTAAAACCTATTTGTTTTTTTCAATATATGCAAAAACTGTGTACAGTGTAAAAAATATACTGACTTTTATGCCCAGCTTCAAATTAATGTTGCTTAGAAAAATATGAGAGTTGTAAATCTCTTGACAAGGAAGCACATAAGTGTCCTTTTTAAAGTGTTAAACTATCCCTGTCTTTGAGTTCAGTACTTTAACATTTAATGTTTAGATTTTAGTGCTTTACCCCACTTGTTTGCGGTTGTTTGCAGAGCCCAGCGTGTCTCAAAGGGCACAGCAGCGTGGGCTTCCAACCCAGCCTCAGCTCCCTATGAAGACACGAAAAAACTTACTGAAAGAAACACTTTTATTGTAACTAACAAGGAAAAATGAGAAGAAACCCCAGGAGAGGCAATTCAGAAGGAGAACCCCTCCACGGATGGCCAAATGTGTCCTGTGAGCTATGGGTGGGAAAAGGCAGTAGACTATGTGGGCAGAATTGGTAATAGCTGTGTCACTTCAACTGTAGCCGCTACAGGTTTTCTATGGGGAGAAAAGCCAAAGGCCAGCTTGTAAACATGAAAGTGAAACCTGAGATTTTTGCACTTGTTT